TAATGGCATCACGGCTGTCTCTGTATTATGTTAAGAGGCTCCCTGTCCAGTAATAGCCTTGCTAACTAGGTTAGCCTGTCCATAGATTGCTAATGCTAACTAACTTAGTAGCCAGGTCCCACATGACTGCATGTCAAAAGCTAATGTCATATTATAGACTCTGTCAGGTTGTCCAATGGGAACTGGTTTGAATTTACCCCTACTTCGTTTTATCTTTTGTTCATGTCATTATAGGTTATGTTCTTTTATCCTCTTTGTCTCTTTTATCCGCCCAAATGTATGTAAATTTGGGTTTTCATTCATAGACAAACTGTTGCGTTAGCAACATTTTCCTCAGGAAAATCAATAAGACTGCCTGCCAAAAACATCTCTCAAGTAAAGAGTATAATAAATTCTTGATTCATCAGTAAATGTTAAGCTAATTTAAGATTTGGGCACTAAGATCTAAGCATGAGACAATGTTAAATTTCATTTACTAAATATATGGTATGTGTGTTTCCAGAATGCTGCGGAGCAATCAGATCAGCTGCATTGACAACAGCACATTTACAGGTCTGAGCTCTGTGGTCTGCTGTCGCTGTACGACAATGGGATCTCCAGCATTGCCCAGGAGCCTTCTCACCCTGCACTCCCTGTCCACCATGTGAGTCCTATCTGATGGCTTTTCTCCCTCTTTCTAGTGCTTATTTTCTGTTTTGTTTTATGTTCTTTTTCCATTCCATCCCATTATTCTTGCTATCTCTCAATATGCGCCACAATCTCTTTTCGTCTGTCTGTCTGAATCTTCCCCTGCTTTGTCTCTCTCTCTTTAACTCTCTCCCTCTCTCTCTCCTCTAATTTTTCAGAGTCTAGCCCTGCTGTGGGAGTTATCTGCCATGCAACACGTATACACACACCACCCACACCCACACACAACACACACACACACACACACCATTTGCACACATGTTGCTCTCTGGACACTGTTTTCCTCACAGATGCTCTACATCATTATCGACTAGATTGGTCCGGATCCCAGGACATTTGTTATCAAGCTAAATATATCTCAGCACGCACCACCCCCACCCCAACACAACACACAAGATTGTTTTTAACTTTCCAAAGAAATACACACCTGCTCTGACCAAGACATGCATTTTTGGATGGCATATTCTTTTAAGTTATGTGTGTGTGTTTGGTGCGTGTGTGTGTGTGTGTGTGTGTGTGTGTGTGTGTGTGTGGGTGTGTGTGTGTGTGTGTGCATGTGGGGGTCATGCTTTCATTTGTACAGAAACAACTGCAATGAAGTAAGTTATGACAAGTAATAATCAGCCACATACCTTTATTGTTAGGCAGGAGAGAGTGGGACGCAAGGAGGCAAAAGAGAAGTGAGTGAATGTGGGTGTGTCAGTCTTCTAAGCACCCAGATGTGAAGGTTGTAAATAATAGATTTTCTGAACTCAGTAAAAAAAGGTTGATTTTTTAATTATTTTTTCTTACAGTGAACACACAGACATGCCAAGCCAAAAAGGTCTTCTCACGTTTCACCTCTCTACTCTCTTTCTATTTTTCCATGCTTCCTTCCCTTGTTCTGCATTTTGTTCCTGTTCTCTGCCCTGCTATGTACCTGTCATCTTTGATTCAAGTTTCTACTTGAGTCTTTGGGGACAAAAAAGAGGGAAAATGGGGACGGTGGAGGGGGTGGATGGATGGGGGGATTGTTGGAGAGAATCAGGTTTGCTCAGTGGGGCTCAGTGTGATTATCAGTACAGAAATTTCAGAAAAGCAGGAATGATATTGTATTACCCTCATCTCATTTTTTCACTATTCATTCTTTTTTCAGCATTAGTTTTTCATTGGCCTTATGTATGCAACACCTGCCTGCTGTTTGGCGTCAAAAAGATGGATAGTTTTTATTTCTAGAGCTGCTGTTCTTAACACTTCCTCTGTTCGTTTGTGTATCTTTCCTCTGTTTTTCTCTTCTTCTCTCCTTCTCTCTCACCCCTACTATTTCTAATATTGGGCTCCATTTTTAGTGCATTATTTCCCAATGGAGTTTGTCCATTTAATTAAAAGATTAACACATTAAAAAGGAAGGAAGGGATTTAGCTTAGGTCTGGTTGCCAAGCAGTGAGGTCAGTTCATTACACGGAAATGAGGAAATAACTCGTCCCTATCTATATCAGCACACCATTAATATTGTAGCACAAACAGCAACCTTCACATGTATTAGTTTATTAGCAGACACAGTAAAAGGCAATATGCCACTTGCACATCTAGTGACACAATTTGGAGGCACACCATCAACATTAAAGAGATACATGTGACTTTTTAATTTACTAATCATTTGCTGCTGATACTGCTAAAATGTAATTCCACTTATTCTTTTTCCACTTATACTCTCTTGTCAGTAAACTCCTCATATTATTTACTACCTAATGCAAGAGCACCTCCTAAATCTCTTTTCCCCACAGCTTACTGTTGATATTTCGTAAGTCATCACTGAACTGTGTTGAATCTAAAATGGCAGTGAGCTGAGAAGAGAATGTCACTGCTCCATAACAAAATCAGGGAGTTTTCCTATAACATTGTTTAGTTTGCTTCGAATGTTACAAAATGTTGCAGGTTACAAAGCTACCTACAAGAGTTAGATCATTTCCAGGATAGATTCATATATTACATTTTATTACATTCTACTTTGTAAAACATAAAATAGTAAAATAAAAAATAAAAAATAAAAAAAATATATATATATAAAATATTTTTTATATATAATATTGACATCTAAAATGGGCTGCAACAGAAGACATTGTCCCAACACCCTTGATATTTTTTGGCCATCTTTTGCCTGGATGTTTTATCTTAAGTATACCCATGTGTAGTATGTGCTGCTGGTCCCTCCTCCCTCCCTATTCAGTTTAAATATGGTTCAGAATAAATATTACATGAGCAATGTTATAAAAGCAACAAAATGCAGTGAGTGGTGATCAAAAATGAATGCAAAGATAACCTTTTCTCATTTCACCTTCTTCTTTTTCATTCTCCATCTCTTTTACGAAATGAATAAAAATAACTGCTAACCTTTTCTCTTTGCCTCTTTTGTTCTCTTTCCCTCACTGCCTCTCTTTGTCATCCATTTAAATGTATTCAAGTGTATGACTGACCAAAAAACAACAGTTATATATATATATATATCTATATGGTTTGCAGTGTACACTGCAAGTTTACTATTATTTTTCTGCTACTGAAATAATTTTGTTTTGCATTGACCCTGTTTTAATGATTTCTTTGTCTCTCTGTATCTCCGTCATTCTTTATTTTCTTAGTAACCTCCTGTCCAACCCGTACGTGTGTGATTGTCATTTGGCCTGGTTGGGTCAATGGCTGAAAAAGACCAGGGTGGTCAGTGGAAACCCTCGCTGTCAGAAGCCAGCCTTCCTGAAGGAGATTCCCATCCAGGATGTGGCCACCCCAGACTTCACATGCGACGGTGAGCCTCTCTCTCACTCTGCACTCATGTTTTGCTTTTGTTGTTCTTTTTGGCTTTAAGAACATAACTGGAAATAACAGTACTTACACATAAAGATTACTCAAAGAAGATTAAACCTCTGGAGCGATTGGTTTAGCAAGCAGCCAGCATTTACAATTACACTGGAGTATCAGGAAACATCACAGCCTGAATCCTGAAATAAATGACATGTGTCACTCAGCACCTATGTATTCTGTGTAGATAAGAACATGAGTCAAGTGATTTAAAGATATATTAACATTATGTGTCTTTGCATCATTTTTACTCATCACAATGACCTTTTGCGGACATTTCCTCAAGGAAGGTTGTGTTATGTTTGGTTATAATGCCAAACATAACATTTAAGAACGTTTTTTAAGGAAAATAAGATATTTTTATGTTACGTGTGTGACCCTAAGCAGATACACACGTGGGCACACACTCACACAGACACACACACACACACACACTCACACACACACACACACACATCCTCAGTGGGGTATTGTGAGGACAGAATGATCAGTAACTATTGGCAAACAGCAGCCGTAGATGACATCAGCTTGTGGTTTCTACAGTGATGTTGCTGTTACCACGACGATGCCTGCCTATAGCGACTTCATAGTCACCAAGTTTGACGCTATAGACAAAGTGTGGTCTGGTTCTCCTGTCTATTACATCTTTCTTTCTTTTTTCACTTTTTTTCTTTTGTTGTAGCTTTAAACTTAAGCTCTTTTCGATCTCCCTTTTTCCAGCTTGTTCAACCTCTCTCCCTCATGAGTTTCTTTGAATTCATTACACTTTCTAATTTCCTGTAGCTGTGCTGCAACCATTTACTGGAAATGAGTTTGGAAAGTAGTTACATAGGTTGGCTCAAGTAAGGAAACTCTAAGATGCTATCAGATCTTAATATTAATCATTGCATTTTGTACACACACACACACACACACACACACACACATTCTGACGCAGGCTCCCTGATGGGGCCCACCAGTTTTTTTATGCGTTGTGGGATCCACCCTTTCCAGTGGTCCTACACTGCTGTAAAAAACAACATTAGATCTAAAAAAAATCTCAATCATTAATATCACTTCAATTTGACAAATTTCAAAAGTTTTGTCAAAAAAGGTATTTGGCCCTTTGTGGGGACCGTTTCTAGGATTGCCGACTTGTGGGGTCCGCCCACATACACACATACAAACCAAGTTTTTATATGTTAATGGGGCCCAAGGTCACTATCTGCAGCTGCTGACACCAGCCTTTATTATTACTCCCAGTTTCCTTATTTTGGACTAAAATAGTTATTTTTGTAATGAGTAATTATGTATACATGTGAAACTTTCCATCTGCCTTTACAGATTACAAGACATACGGCTTCAAAGACAGTTTTATGACAAAACTGAAATGACCGATTTTATTGTAATGACAGTTTATGCCACACAGTTGTCAGTCAATAAACTTTTTATGAAATGATTAAAACAAATTATTAATTTAATGTCTAGAGATCTGTACAATCTGCACTCAATGTTTGAACAACATCAGCCTGAACTTTTATGTAAACCCAACAGTTTCTCTTATATAGGCATTGAAATTATATGTTTCATTGGACTGCATCCATACTATCATGTTAACACAAGTTTCTCTTTCCAATGAAGCCTCAAATTTTGAAATCATGATACAGAGATATTTAAAGAAATGAAAAATCCTTTGAAATATTTAACATATGCCCCACACACTTTCAGTGTTCAGGCCCTAAAATAAATAAAAAAATGTATTAAAATAAATAAGAAAATCTCAATATCCATCCATCATCTGGTCAACATCCATCCATCCATCCATCATCTGGTCAACATCCATCCATCCGGTCAACATCCATCCATCCATCCATCCATCATCTGGTCAACATCCATCCATCCATCCATCCATCATCTGGTCAACATCCATCCATCCATCCATCCATCATCTGGTCAACATCCATCCATCCATCCTCCCTCCATCCATCCTCCCTCCATCCTCCATCCATCCTCCCTCCATCCATCATCTATTCAAGATCCATCCATCCATCCGGTCAACATCCATCCATCCATCATCTACCCTACATCCATCAAACATCAATCATCTATCCTACATCCATTCATCTCTCGAACATCCATCCTACATCCATCAAATAAAAAAAATTAAATAAGATCTGTGAAATGTGTATATTTGTTGGCCAATGGACAGCCATAAAACCTGAGCAAACCCCTACAACAACAACAACAACAACAACAAGGTTACAACAGAACACAACCAAAGACAAAACATTTTAAGATCCTACCTCTAATGTTTTGGTTTTACCTCAGTTCCATTAGGTGCTTTCACACTAGACTTTTCTTCTCAGGGCTGTAATGCGATTTTTAACATAATATTTAACTGCTTTCCAGTCTCTGTTTCTGAGAGCTTGAGGTTCTGCAGTAATACAGCGCTGACACTCTTCTTTACCAGGAACTTGATTCCTTACAATAAATCTCCTCAAATGTGTGTCCACTGCAGCACACTCGTCTGGGGTCCAGCTTCTTTTGATGGCTGTTTGTTTTCCTATGTAGGCAAAAACACAAAACATTGTAGGTTTTCTTTTATAAAGAAATTTTAATCTTACTTAACCCTGTAAGACCCACTGTTTCAGAATTACAACAATTGTGGTTATTTCCCAAAACCCCTTTTGTCTTTTTTTTTTTATTGTTTGTTTGTTTATACAACCACATCAATATGATCTGTGGGTCCTACATTTTATTCCCACCATGTAATTGGATCCAGGATTTGTATACAAAGCCCACCCCCCTTAAGTCAAGAAGTGACACATCCTACAACTTTCTGATCAAGCAACATCCCTTTGATTTACTGGACTGGATTCATCTTGAAGTAAGTAAAATGCTTGGAATATGTTTTTCTGTGTTTATTACAGTGTCTAGAACAAGGACATGTACAGTAAATGTTGAAAATATGCCCTACATTTTGTTTAGAGCTTGTTTTATAAGTGTTGCGATATTACAATGTTGGATGAGAGTGGCAGTCATAATTGCCCTGTATTTAAGAGGAACATCTAGCCTGGTTAAAACCAGACCATTCTCAGTTGTAACTGAGTTATGGTCTGGCAAAGCGTCATAGACAAATCATTTCCAGAGGGGCGTCCTCCAACGGACGTCGCGGGTAGGCCTAAAACCAATCAGAGCGATGAAGGAGATGACGTATGCAGAGCGGCGGCCGGCAGAGAAACATCTCCGAGTGTTGTTCTTTGCTCGGTTTTTAACAAAAAGGAAACGTTCAAACAGACGGGATAGCTGATCCGAACGAGTGATGTTCGACGGCGGCATCCATCTTTGTAATGTAGGCTACAAAATCTGCTTCAAAATCCCAGCGCTGTCGTCATCGTGTAAAGCCCGCCCCAATGTTTCTGATTGGTGCCGCGATTTCGGTGGATTGGAAATGAACTTGAATGAGCTCTTTGCCAGACTAACTTTCAGAGCAAATCTAAATTTCCCGGAAGTTGTCTGGGTTTTCCCAGGCTAAGGAACATCTTGAGGGGAACTTAAATGAAAATGTTCACAACAAATTATACAGGATTTAAACAACCCTTTAGCTTTATATCGGATTACATATTCTATACTGTATTAGAGACTAAAGTTGAAAGATATATTGCCATATCTAAACATTATAATTTGCTATCACATTCTGCAGGACTTTCTAACAAAGAAATTCTGTTTGTGCAAATCTGCCTTTTCTTAGTCTACTGATAAACAAAATGTTCTTATCAATTTATAGTCAAAGAGCTTATTATCATTAGGCCTATAACCTTTATTTAACCAGGTCTGTCCCATTGAGATCCAAGATCTCTTTTGCAAGAGACACCTGGCCACACCTGGCCAATCCTCCAAGTTGTGCGGGATGCTCCTGGTGCTTTGTTCTGACACAGGTGTAAATGTTCATCACTGTTAGTTTTTGTTGTAAACTGGACGCTGAATGCATTCCAGTAAGGATTACAATCACAGTCTACTATAGGTGAGTCATTAGGGTATAGCGTGACCGGTGAGATGTGTGAATAGGCTGCTTCAGTCCAAAGTGTGAACACGTCATAATGAGGCATGTGTGCTATTTGTAAATACAATGGAAATTTGTTTCAATTTTATCTTTTCCATTTCAGAATGCCACCAGCAAGGAGAAATCCTTGGTACAATGTGCACAATGTAATTGCCATCATCCAAAACGGAGAAAGTGATGTGGACATAGATTTTGACGACACTGATGCGAGTGATGAAGAATCAGATATTGATGTCTCTGTGGACAAAGAAAACCAAGAACCTACCAATTGTCCAGCTAATGTGAATATTGAGCCCGGGCAATCAAAGAAATACATCATGCCACATGACAGACGTCACTGATTTTTCTGGTCAAGCTCTCACAGATGATGTCACCTCCCTCCACACACCACTGCAATACTTCCAAAAGTTTTTGTCAGAAGATTTGGTTCAAGCTCTGGCAACAAATACGAATGAGTATAGCATTCAAAATGATGAAAGATCAGTCAACACTAATACAAAAGAAATACAGGCAGCATTGGGCATGTACCTGAGGATGGAACATTACATTTTGTAAACAATTTAACCGTGCCAGAGACTGAAAAGAGGGACAAACTCTGGAAACTCAGACCACGGCTTGATTCACTCAGAGAAAACTGCCTGCAGGTGGTACCAGAAGAGCACATTCCATGGACAAGATGATGATACCATTCAACGGGAAGTTTAGCAGCATCAAGAAGTATATGCAAGGTAATCTATGCTCATGGGGCTTTAAAGTATGGGTGAAAGCTGGAATCTCTAGCATGATGCTTGACTTTGATGTTTACCAAGGGAGCAACAATGATGTACGAGTCAAATCTAAACTTGGATTGTCAGGTGATGTTGTAATGAAGCTTGCCTCCACATTTCCAAAGGGTCAACACAAGAAGATCTAGGCAGACAACTACTTCACCTCCGTACCACTGGTAGTGAAGCTCCTTGAGCAAGGAATCCATTATGTGGGAACAGCCAGGCAAGTGCATCTCCCCAACTGTAATCTTTACATGTGAAGAGCTTGAAGAAGAAGGGCAGAGGAAGCTTTGACCACAGAGTGGAGGGGAAACAACATCTGTGCTGTCAAATGGTACGACAACAGGGCGGTGACACTTCGCTGGACCAGAACCTGTTCAGGAGATTCAACACTGGGACAAAACCACCAAAACCTACATTGACGTTAGAAAGGCTTCCATTGTGGGCATCTACAATAAATACATGGGAGGTGTGGATTTGTTGGACTCATTTACAGCAAAACACAAGTATGCACTGAAATCCTGGTGGTGGTACATGTACATCTTCTGGCACACAATCACCCTTGCTGTGGTCAACGCCTGGCTCCTCTACAAGCAGCACAGCCTATGCTCTCAGGATGCCAAAGGAGATACTGAATATGAGAAAGTTCCAAGCACAGCTGGCTTCCTCTCTCATTACGGTAATGATCTATTTGTGCTATTTACCTTGTTTGTGATAAATCAGACTGGAATTTGAGATGTACATAAATTGATACATTTATATTCTAATCTGGCGGACACAACACTGAAAACGCCAAAGAGAGGACGGCCATCTTCAATCAACAAGAGCCCAGAGACAGGAGCCCTCTGAATAGTGGAAAGAGACCACACATGGATGATGGAAGTCCAAAGGCTCCCTCTTCTAAAAAGTCACGCAAACCACCGCCCATGGATGCGCGCATGGACCAAACTGGACGTTTCCCCCTGAAGACAAAGAGAGGACACTGCAGACATTGCAGTAAAGGGTACACCAATACCCAATGCAGTAAGTGTGATGTCCGCCTCTGTTTTTCAGAGGACAGGAACTGTTTCTGGGATTACCACTATAAGTAAAGGTGGACTTCACACTGAGCACATAAATTTCAGTGGAGAGCGAGAGAACACTGCAGACATTGCACTGTTAACAATGTAAATAAATAAAGATCTTATTTGTTGGAATAAACAACTCTTCATAATAACATGACTGAGATTATTATTCATTTTATACACTGGTTTGGTAAAAACAAAAACACTGCAAATTAATCCTTAATTATGCAGCTTGATGGGCACCTCTTCGGACCTGACGTGCTGCCCAGCTACGCAAACGCAGCTACGTGGATGTACTCTCTTGTAATTGGCCAGAGTGATCACAAGTCTCCGGATGTTTTGGTCTCGTTGCTGAAAGAGTGCATGAAGCGGTGGAAAAACCCCAGCCCCCCTGTGCTGCCAGCTTCTCCAAGCCCCGTGCTCCCTCTTTTGCCAAAACCACCATGAGAACGACCGACAACTGGCTGAAGGAAGAGCTGCAACGGGTGAAAGAAAGGCAGAAAGCAACGGAGGAGTGCCTGCTCAGATGCATTCCGTTTAGTTTTGCTTTTTAACTTTATTTATAGTTAACGGTTTTGATTGCATTCTTTTTTCTTTGTGTGTTGCTGACGGCATTACATTATAATTCTGGAAAAGAAACTGCAACAGGATGCTTTTACCCTACACTCGAGTATAAACACACACTCTCTCACTTAAAGCAATTTTATTCTTTTTTGCATTTCACAAAATAATAATAAAAACAATAATAATGATAATATATTCTATTTATAAGGCACTTTTAAAAGGTCATTTAATAAAGTCAGCTGCATGTGGAGGCTTAATGAGACTTGGATGAAGGAACACTAGCAGTTAGGAGGTATTTAAGGTGATTATAGGTTGTTCGAGTGTTTCAACTGGTCACTGTACACCTCCGTTGTTGGAGGAAATGCAAGCATTTTTCCTGAGTAAGTCCATAAAGTGTTAAAGATTTTTTTTTTTTAAATACAACAGACTTCTTATTGATATAAAGGTGATAATGCCAGTCTTTCCCCAACCCTACAACCTGCGACAATGCAGGCTCACAAGGTCTGTTCCTGCAACAGCTTCTTTCAAGTCACTGTCAGGCTTGTGGCACCGGACAGTAAGGAGGGACAGACATATTTCAAGTGTTGAGTCAAGGAAGCAAAGTAAAAGCCCTTAAAAATAAATGAGCAGCTCTGGCCCAAAAGAGAGTGCAAGCCCCAAAGCTTACCTCTCTTTTTTGCAGACACACTCCGGTTTTGGACATTCTTGCAGGGATGACATGCTGACCTCATCTTCTGACCCCTCTTCTCTTGGCATACTGACATCTGGACAAACAAATAACTTTATTGTAGTATACACTACATGAAATATGTAATAGCCGTCAGTGCAGTGGTTGTGTTATTTTATAAAATAATTTAGTATATTCAATTCAATTTTCTATTCAGTTTATTTATATAGCGCTGATTCACAACAGATGTCGTCTCAAGGCACTTAATAAGAAGTCAGTATATGGGATTTGTGTCTCTTAAAGAGAGACAGTTTATTTCATCCCGTCTCCTATAGTCCTAAATTCTTTTCAAGTGACTAGTGACGTGAAAATATTAGTTGTCATGTTAGCCCAGGGATGGGCAACTCCAGTCCTCAAGGGCCACTATTCTGCAGGTCTGAAATGTTTCCCTGCTTCAACACACCTGATTCAAATTAAATAGATCAAACAGCTTGTTGCCAAGCTCTGCACAATGAATCAGGTGTGTTGCAGCAGGGAAACATCTAAAACCTAAAGGATAGTGGCCCTCAAGCAGTATATTTCCTCATATAGTGTATGGACGACAGACCGTCCCACGCAGTCCACTAGTGCTGAAGTAGCTGTGCGCCGAAAAGATTGTATGTTGGACAATATAAGATGAACTGATTTCATCAGACAGAAAGCGACTGTTGTTACTGACATTACAAGTAGAATTAACGACAAGGCTGTATGAGTTTATTAGATGTCATCTAACCCGATGGCATATGCGTTTGAGCCAGTGATGAGGAGGAGGGTTGAGAGACCCGTTTTTGGTTGAGGGAGCTGCAGCAGCTCCGGACGGAGATGACAGTGAGGAGAGGGTCGGCAACCCTTTGCAGTGCAAGTGCGGTCACTGCGATCAACCGTGGAGTCTGTTTGCTGCCATGAAGCAGACTTGGATAATGTGCTCAGGGAATTGTCCTGCATCACCTTATCGCGCACATTCCAGATGTTCTGTAGTGACAGGGACGTGTTGGAGTAGCTGTGCTATCCCTGTATGAAGTCTGTGCCGAGAGATTAGAGCAACCTATAAGCAATAGGTGGGTTCCCGCTAACCTCAAAGTTAATGCTACTTGTAATTTCAGGCAGTACTGACGCAGTGTTCAGTTTTAAAACTGGGGTTGTGTTTGACTGATTGTGCAGCCTCTGCATCATACAGGTCTCCTGACAGAGTTGCAGGAGAAAGAGGTGGGTGGGACAAAGAAGGGAGGTGGAGTTGTTGATGTTGAAATTTTTGCCACGTGCTGTGTGAAATGCACGAAAGGTAAGAATTGCGTTCAAGCTCACCGGTTGCAGACACTCCCTGGTTTTGACTTTGTGATGTGGAGGTACATTCTTGCGTGGATGACATGCTGACCTCATCGTCTGACCCATCATCTCTTAGCATACTGACATCTGGAGAGGGAAATAACTTAATACAATACACAAAATATCTAAAACGGATCATTTAAAAATCAATTTAGGAACATCGTATACACATACCTTCAATGTCCTCTGCTAAAGGTCCCTCCATGTCAATGGTCTCTAAAATGATAATTGATAAAAAATTGAGTTTGGAAAGCTGAAACTATGGGCAATCTGCAAGAGTATACAACAGTAGCATTATCTCTCATCCCGTCACCATTACTGCCCTATGTTTTACATGGTAAATAGTTGTTTTCTGAATGCGGAAGACTAAATGTCATATATTGTGCCTTCAAGAATATAAAGTTAATTACCATTCACATCGACTTGTATTTCATCGAGGCTCTTTCCTTTGTAATCTCCTAGGCGTCCTTGTTCCATTGCCAGGAGGACTTTACTTACTTTGGCTAATTGGAGGGTGCTTTCTGGGAGCCTGTAGTGTTTCCTGTGAACAGCGATATTATGACCAAGGAAGTCTGCCAACTGGTCGAGCTCAGTGGTTTTGAGGTTCAGAACAGTAGACAGGGTAGCAATATGTTATATATGAGATTAGTCAATAATTTAATCAGTCAGAAAAGAGAGAGAGTTGAGCTTCTCTAATAAATGATTACTGATTGATTGTTGGTGATCTCTATTTAATTGATAATTAATGCACCAGGCGAGGACGAGGACTCGACCGGATTTTGGCAACAGAGACCGGCCCTACCGGGGTTTGTCCCGGTATGCTGGCTGACCAGTAGCCTACATCACTGGGCACGTTGTATCTTTTTTTTTTTTTTTTTAAGCACACACCTGAGCGCTGATCACTGGACATCACTCCTGCAGGTGTTTATGCCAATCCAATAGATTCAATTTCAAATGAATCCATTTAAATTCAGATTTTAAAAGCAATTGTTCAAAACAATCGATTCAGGTTCAAAGTAAATGATTCCCATTCAAATATAAAATTCAAATTCGCTTACTAGTGGCAAAAAATTTATCACATAAACAATTATATTGTTAAAATGTGTTTTGGGGCTTACCAGAATGCTTTTTGTGCGTCTCAGTGGTGGAACAAGTTCATCATCCGATTGATTGTTGGAATGGTTGCTTGGAGAAGCCTCATCACAAGTTTCTTTCACAACAGTTTCATCTGAATCGTACAAATGATCTGAAAAATCTGGGCCAATATCATTCTGCCCTATAATAACATCCAGGTGTGGGGTGGGAGGTTCGTTTTCCATACCATCCTCATCAGTTTCATCACTATCTGGATAATCAACCAGTGAAAATCCTTGGACAGTAAATACCTAAAAATAAACAAAAATTCATTAAGTATGGAATTAGAAAGGTTGGCCAAAGAAACATGGCATGGTCTGACTAAAAATCTAAATCCAGAAATGTGAACATCAGCCCTTTTAGACAGTGTACAATTATAAATGTTAAAATCAGAGTACAGCTATACTATAGTATTACAATACTATCATATAGTTGCCTGAGGAAGACCATTTGGATCGAAACCTTTGTTTTTTAGTCAATAAAAAAGGTAACTGTGAGCTTTAACCCAGTATGCAGATTTTCTTCTTTTTCCTCCCCAGATGTTACCATAATGCATTAAAAGGTGCCCCACAAGAATGGGACTGGAAAGATGCCAGTGTGTGTTACATTACCTGGCCTTTACAACCCAATAAAGGTCACCTGACTACTTTAAAGCCCCGTGAGCATTGGTCCATGGTCCAATTGACCATTACAGGGGTTTTCAGTGCATCAAATCAAAATATTTAACATCAAAATTCAAATCAAAAATATTGCTTTAAAACATCTAACAGCTCAGACACAGTATACAATTACGAATGTTAAAATCACAGTTGAGGTCATGTCAGGTGTTGCCACAGTGCATTAAAAACAATTACCGTAAGAACTGGACGGAAGGGCCCCACATGGGTCAGACTACAGACATACGAGTGTGTAAAGGAGGGACTTGAGAAACAAATGTATTTGGAAGATGGAAGGACCCCATAAGAACATGACTGGAAACATGCCGGTGTGTGTGACATTACCTGGCCTTTAACAGCCAATATAAAGCCACATAAGCATTGGTCCACTTTAGTAATAGAACACCACCACATACATGTCAGCATAGATGAATGTGTTTGAATGTACTTTTACCTGTGTGCAGGTCTGATCTGGGTTAGGTCTATCATTAAGCATCTGAGGAACAGGGCTGGTCTCATTCTCTTCTGCTGCAGCAGGAGTCTGAAGGCCTTTCACCTGAAATAGACAGACAAGAAGAGACTCAGAACTGTATGAAGAGACATTCACAGGCTAATAAGGTCATCTAATGGTGAAACAGCACTGAACTTTAACTGAGAGCATGGACTAAAAAGCTGCTCACGTCTATTCCAAGAGTTTGCAGTGGATCAAATCAAAATATTGCTTTAAAACATCTAACAGCTCAGACACAGTATACAATTACGCATGTTAAAATCACAGTTGAGGTCATGTCAGGTGTTGCCACAGTGCATTAAAAACAATTACCGTAAGAACTGGACGGAAGGGCCCCACATGGGTCAGACTACAGACATACGAGTGTGTAAAGGAGGGACTTGAGAAACAAATGTATTTGGAAGATGGAAGGACCCCATAAGAACATGACTGGAAACATGCCGGTGTGTGTGACATTACCTGGCCTTTAACAGCCAATATAAAGCCACATAAGCATTGGTCCACTTTAGTAATAGAACACCACCACATACATGTCAGCATAGATGAATGTGTTTGAATGTACTTTTACCTGTGTGCAGGTCTGATCTGGGTTAGGTCTATCATTAAGCATCTGAGGAACAGGGCTGGTCTCATTCTCTTCTGCTGCAGCAGGAGTCTGAAGGCCTTTCACCTGAAATAGACAGACAAGAAGAGACTCAGAACTGTATGAAGAGACATTCACAGGCTAATAAGGTCATCTAATGGTGAAACAGCACTGAACTTTAACTGAGAGCATGGACTAAAAAGCTGCTCACGTCTATTCCAAGAGTTTGCAGTGGATCAAATCAAAATATTGCTTTAAAACATCTAACAGCTCAGACACAGTATACAATTACGAATGTTAAAATCACAGTTGAGGTCATGTCAGGTGTTGCCACAGTGCATTAAAAACAATTACCGTAAGAACTGGACGGAAGGGCCCCACATGGGTCAGACTACAGACATACGAGTGTGTAAAGGAGGGACTTGAGAAACAAATGTATTTGGAAGATGGAAGGACCCCATAAGAACATGACTGGAAACATGCCGGTGTGTGTGACATTACCTGGCCTTTAACAGCCAATATAAAGCCACATAAGCATTGGTCCACTTTAGTAATAGAACACCACCACATACATGTCAGCATAGATGAATGTGTTTGAATGTACTTTTACCTGTGTGCAGGTCTGATCTGGGTTAGGTCTATCATTAAGCATCTGAGGAACAGGGCTGGTCTCATTCTCTTCTGCTGCAGCAGGAGTCTGAAGGCCTTTCACCTGAAATAGACAGACAAGAAGAGACTCAGAACTGTATGAAGAGACATTCACAGGCTAATAAGGTCATCTAATGGTGAAACAGCACTGAACTTTAACTGAGAGCATGGACTAAAAAGCTGCTCACGTCTATTCCAAGAGTTTGCAGTGGATCAAATCAAAATATTGCTTTAAAACATCTAACAGCTCAGACACAGTATACAATTACGAATGTTAAAATCACAGTTGAGGTCATGTCAGGTGTTGCCACAGTGCATTAAAAACAATTACCGTAAGAACTGGACGGAAGGGCCCCACATGGGTCAGACTACAGACATACGAGTGTGTAAAGGAGGGACTTGAGAAACAAATGTATTTGGAAGATGGAAGGACCCCATAAGAACATGACTGGAAACATGCCGGTGTGTGTGACATTACCTGGCCTTTAACAGCCAATATAAAGCCACATAAGCATTGGTCCACTTTAGTAATAGAACACCACCACATACATGTCAGCATAGATGAATGTGTTTGAATGTACTTTTACCTGTGTGCAGGTCTGATCTGGGTTAGGTCTATCATTAAGCATCTGAGGAACAGGGCTGGTCTCATTCTCTTCTGCTGCAGCAGGAGTCTGAAGGCCTTTCACCTGAAATAGACAGACAAGAAGAGACTCAGAACTGTATGAAGAGACATTCACAGGCTAATAAGGTCATCTAATGGTGAAACAGCACTGAACTTTAACTGAGAGCATGGACTAAAAAGCTGCTCACGTCTATTCCAAGAGTTTGCAGTGGATCATGGATAGGGTTAGGATAGGGTCATGGATACATGTCAGCATAGATGAATGTGTTTGAATGTACTTTTACCTGTGTGCAGGTCTGATCTGGGTTAGGTCTATCATTCAGCATCTGAGGAACAGGGCTGGTCTCATTCTCTTCTGCTGCGGCTGGAGCTTGGTTTTTTTTCAACTGGATTGCAGATAAAGAAGAACTCATTTTAACACACATCACAGATCAAAGATTAAATGCATTTCCATAGACAGTCAAGAGTAATATTGGAAACATGGTTAATTTTGGAGAAATACAAAATTTTCTTTTGCAACAAAAAAATTTAAAAAAAGAAATCTCTATACTTAATCTAACCAACTCACCTTACAGCGCCAAGGCCATTTTGAATCACCATAGTTGTAATCAATTTCATCTCCTATTTCTATTTTCTTCAGAGAAAAAAGGCACAAATGTGGTTTGTTGTCAACTATGATTTTTTTCATAACGCAATTTGGATTTTGGTGGTTGTCATTGACCAATCTTCCGAGAGATAAATCTTCTTCAGATGCATCCAGGCTGAAAAGTATCAAAAAAATGGTAATAGTTTTACATCTTTTTAAAAGTTTTATTGAAAGAGTTATTTTCAAAAGAATTTAAGAGTATTTTTGCTTAACTCATTCATCAAGTATTAAACCCTTGTTTCAGGGTTAACTCGTAATTTCGCTAAATCAATACAAAACATCCATCTTTCAATGTTTACCATAAGTGATGATTCTGCCACTGAAAGTCAAAGAGAAATGTGCTTTCAATCTCTGAGTATTTTCTTGACTTGCATTCCTCCTGTGTGAGGAGTTTACCCCTGTACTCCAACACGAAGTCCCCGGGTTCAATGGGGTGTGTGGCAAACACTCCTCTTCCTACAATAATATATATTAAACATTTCATTCTGGGACTCAAAAACAGATACTACAGTATTTTCAAAGTGAGGTTGATGTTCTTGCGTCTAGTCAGTGTATTACCTGCAGACAATGCTCAGCACTCTCCCAGTTGTGATACACACTCTACAGGTAAAGTGCTTTTTTGATCAGACTTTGTGGCCAAAAAATGTTTTTGATGCAGACCCATCCACATCAATGCATCATTGAGGTCCTGTCTATGCTGTCTAATTTTCACTTTTCCACGAGAATCAATAGCCGCGTTTCCACTGTCGGGCCAGTGCGAGCCAGGGCTTTAAACTGGGCCGAGCCGGGCTAATGGCCTCGGGCCAGGAGCACCGGGCTCAAAACCAGCTGTTGCGTTTCCACTGTCTGGCCAGAAGCTCCACAGCGCTTCACTAAAACACGCTAGGGGTGAACTAGCACGGCCCGGCTCTGGCCCGACAGTGGAAACACGGCTACTGTATGTTATGATTGCCTAACGATTATACACTGGCCGGGAAGCCGATATTTAAAAGTGAAGCGTTTGTTTACCCCTGGGTTCGTCAACCAGCCCACGTGCATGCGCACTCAAATACGAGATTTTAATTTCTGCCCCGACTTGACGTCAAGACGGGGCAGGAAATACCATATATGGACACCTATGCTGCAGGAAGCCCGCCCTGCCCCTCTCCCCCTCATATTCAGTCGCGAAAGATGCAGAAACGTAGTGCACACGTGAGTTGCTCTGTTGTTGACTGCCAGAATCAACATGTAACTTAAATGTGTTTTCTCTCCCAAGAACGGACCAAGCTGTCAGGGACCAGTGGATTAAATTCATTTTTAATGACGCGGTTCCTACAACCCTTCCCACTGGCTTAACGTTAGGTGTCTGTGCTAATCATTTTACACCGGAATCGTTCACAAATTTGAATGTCTAAAAAACCACAACGTGAAACAAGGCGAAAACACCACATGATTGATCTCAATAACAACTGTAAGCTGATAAAAAAAAGTAGACTACATCTCCGTTAATGTAATCTACATTAAATAAAAGGTATAATGAATGTCTCAGTCAAAATGATTGTTTTTACCATTCAGAGACATCTTGATGTAGACGTCCTTCCATCGACTCTACATCTTCCCTTTCCAGCTCAGATTCAGAGTCTGGCTCGTGCATGTACGGTTGAATTCCGTAGGTCGCAGCCAGGTCGGGTGCATTTACAACTTGCGCCATGATGTCATTTTGGAATGATATGCTGAAGTTACGTGCGGTGTCAACCCCCCTCCTTCCTGCCACCAATCAACGCGCCCCTTTGCATTATTAAAATGACCATCCATGACAGCCAAAATATCACATCAGATCTCGCGAGACAATAATGCCTTCAGAAATAAGGGTCAGAGGAGCTCTCCACTTTTCTTTTTTAGAAGGGCCTGAAAGGCTATAATAGAGCGTGGGTATCCAAGGTAATACTAAGTTATGACTCCTTTAAACTGAGAGTGCCGTGTACCATTTAGTGCAGGTAACACCAGTGAAGCGTAAGAACATCATGCAACTCAGACTTTTGACATAGACAGACGGTACTATACTGATCCACAACTGGAAAAATACATTGTAGCCGCAGCAAGGCATGAAACTAAATATTAAATAGCAATATAAAAAACGGAAAGTATTCCTGATTTACAAAATAAATATAGGACACAGAAAAGCAATATAACAAACGTATATACAACAAATAGAGAGACTAGTTAAATAATGTATTGTGCAAATGAGCTTTAAAGACCCACTCCGATGATAATCATGTTTTTCGTGTTGTTAACATGTTCTTGTGGCATTTTTCTAAAGCTAGAGGACATATCTTTAGAAAATTAAGCTCAAAATTGCATTTTTGAGTATTTCTGCATTCAAATGGCTGTGAACCAATGGCAGTCACTAAAAGGCAGCCTAAAACAGACTGGAGTTGTGATGTAATAACTCTGGGGGGGCCACAAGCTCCTGCCCCACTCCGCTCAGGTTATGAGGAGTAGAGAAGACAATGGCGGATCAACACCTGTGTGCTGTAGTGGGTTGCAGTGCTAAGAAGAGAGATATTGGTATTAGCTTTCATAATTTACCGCAGCGCTGGCTCCGCCCACAACGCAGAGGCTAATTGCTAATGAGCACAGCTGGGACACTCAAGCAGAAGATTACTAACTTTGTCAGGCGAGGAAATTATATTGCCAGATGCCTAGCATGCAACTTAGCCAAGTCTACCCAACGAACTAGCCATGACTGGTGGGGAGGATGAAGCTGCTGCCGGGAGCTTTGAATCTCAGGTGGCTATACGCATCGTTGTTGTACGGGGCTGTACATTGCTCCATTTACACTTGGTCACATAAATGTGTCGGATATAAATCCGATTTTCAACTCCCGCACTATATACTGATTTAATGGAGTTAAGATATGTGCTGCATTTTATTGATCGTCAGCTAAAATGTCAACATCAAAGAGAGAGTGGCAACAGCGCTGGTAAGATCATCTCGTTTCTTTACTTTTAATGAAGATGATTGTGTGTTAAGCATCTGCGACTTACTTTCACTTTGATTTGCGATAGTTTGCAAGTTGGCTTGATGAATAGATGCTCAGCTGCGCCGTGTTGCAGTAGCGTCGTCATATCTAGCTATAACATGACGTATAGCCTATAATAACACTCTCTCACACGTTTATTTTTGTGCATTTTTGGGAGGAGTAACATTTACATATGTGGTTTCAACAACCAGATGCACATACACTTGTCCGATCACAGAAAACATATGAAGTGAAGTGTAAACAGCCCCCGAGTGGTGGTATGCCAGCGAGCTTTGCTTGGCATAATTTAAAATGGTTGGTCGCAGAGTAAACGGTCACGACAATACTCTTCTTCTGTTGTTTGTTTACACTATGCACAAAACACAGGTAGCCTAGATCGCGCAGTAGGGTGTTTCATTCATGTTAGCTGACGACACCTTGTGTCCCCGACAGGAAAATACCCAGCTGCGTGTTCTGTGAATGTAGGCGCGGTGTCAATTTAGAACACATAGGAATTGCGCGAAAATATAACGATATTCGAAAATGCTTTTTTATGATCGAATTTCGCACGCAGTTCCGACTATTCGAAGATCGCGACTCATCCCTAACATCAACAATAATACTTTTTTGCTTTTGAAATGCACAAGTTGTGTCAAGGAATCTTCTGCAACTTACCTTTGTAACGGTCAATGAATCTCGGCATAAACCCATCCTTGTCAGTGCAAGACAGAATGTATGTCTTTGCATCGTCTATAGGCTTTTTCCTCCTCCTCCTTGTGGACATAATGGTTCTGTGAAAATAATTGTAATTCGTACTTAGTCAAGGCAAATCTCACAAAAAGGTTTTTGAAAAATAGCAAGTCACAAAAAAAATCTATTATGTAAAATAAATAAACAGACATTCATACAAACACATAGACGCTGCAACAGCTGTGTACTGAGCTTTGCTATTGCAAGATGCACATTGTTTAACATCAAACACGGGCTAATGAAATATGCAAATTCTGAAATGAGCACACTGAAAGCTGACCGAGCCTGTTGAAGCCGAGAAGTTAACTTGTTAGATGATAACCATGTTGTGCTGCACAGACACTCCGTAATCAATTTAAACTAGGGATGTCAAACTTAACTTCTGGTACAGCAGCATGGCGGCGTTGCCACATGACCATTGACTGACATATGCAGCATCACATCCTTCCTCATACATAAGCGCATGGATGGTTATGGGGGGGTCCAGGGTAGGCCGGTACCACCAGGACAAAAGCTTGGTGAAAACTTCCCTTAGAAGTATTGAGTCTAAACAAGCAAAGGTTTCACATCTTGCTACATTTGTTGATCAGTTGATCAGTCACAGTGATGCTCTGAAATTTAAGAATGTGTTTTTATTTGTTAAAAATGTGGGTCAATGACGTGACGCCTAAATTTTCTGTTCGACTGCATTTTTTCAGGCAAAAATGGGTTTAAATGCCTAAAAGGATACTGCATATTTGTAGTACCTCTCCCATGTATGTACAACTTTTCAAAAACCTTTACTTATTTGTTATTTTTTTGTTATTTAAAGTGTCAAAACATCATGTGGTGTTCGGCCATAACTTCTGTTTTTAAAACATCTTTGATATTGATTATTATTGAGTGACTCCAACACGGCACCGTAGCTTCAGTCCTGCGTTAGCTTCTGGCTAACCTCCATCAGCGAGTCCTGCCCTGTCTTGCTCACAATTCACAACCGATTCCACCTTTAACGACAGGACTTCACTGCACCCTGTCTCTGCCCCGCTGTCATGTCCGTGGTGACGTTATTAGGTTAAGCCAACTGCTAATAGTAATATTATGTCGCTAACGTTAGCTACATGGCAGCTAAACGAGGTAGCAAACATCACGATATAACGCCAAAATAAACTCACCATAAAAACCATGCCTAGCTTACCTGTTGCATGAAGAAGTCGGTATTTGTAAAAATATTCAGATGTCCAACCACTCCGTCTTCTTCTTTCTTCAATCTTCTATCCTTGAAGTCTTCTTCTTCATCTACTTCTTCTTCTTGTGCAATTTCCGCAGTTTTCCTTACATTCGCGGCTGATTGTACAGTGCAGTAATTTCATTGGCCAAAGGTTTCAGATTCCCGCGGTGTGTATTCGATTTCGCGGGAAGTGTATATCCTGACTTCCGGTACAAAAAGGCTGGACGATACACACCTTCACACACATACCCACTTTTTGCTACCTTACGGGCCACTTTTTAGAAATGAAAAAAAAAGCAATGGTAGCATCAGGGGAAGCTGCTGAGCTCATTTTAATTGAAATCGGAGTGGGGCCCACCATTTTGGGCCCCACTCCGATTTTGGAACTCCTTAGGTGGATGTGCTCCCACCGATGGGAACCCACACCGACGCAAATGTTAGTACACACACACACACACACACACACACACACACACACACACACACATCTACCTTCAAACTCACTCAGCTGCAAAAACATAAATTTGAATGGCGGATACCACACTCAAGCCCTTAACTCTATGATAATCTAATTTCTAATATGAACCAACATAATACAACATCCCGCAACCCTGTTAGTGGTTGACGATGGATGGGTGGATGGATGGATGGATGGATGAATGAATGGATAGATGGATGGATAATACAACATCAGAAATGACAAAAGTCATAATTGTAAATTAATCTAAGAGCTGAGGAGCACAACTACAGAAAATAATTTGTGCAAAATTTATGTTGGTATATTTTTTGACCTTGTAAACCTACAATTTTATGTCAAACACTATTGCTTGATGATGGAAATCAAATATCTAGATCACCAGCAACATAAAATCAATTGTTATTTGACTCAAGGCCCAACTGTCAAAGGTTTTAAGATATCCTGCTGACAGTCAGACAAACAAACTTCCAAATAGGGGTGACATAACCTCTTGGCAAAAGTAAGAGGCCCACAAGTTCCAAGAAGATGTAAATCTCAAAGTGCTTCTTAAAAGAATAGAAGCAAAGAAATACTCACACACTCACACACACACACACACACACACACACACACAGGCACACACACACAAAACCAAGGTCCCCGTGTCTGGTCTATTTATAGTTGAGTAAAATGACTGTTAAGTTGTCCAGTGGCAGCCGGGGGAAAGGTAAAGTTAATTGAATTTGTGAGAAGATATTTAGCGCACATTTAGATGTTAGTTCAATCAGCCAACTGTAGTCAGCCCACGGCTACACCTCCCTGTGGACTCACAAGCTACACACATCAGATAAGACACACATATACACACGCATACGCACACACTACTCTACACACGGGCACATAAGAGCCCATTTACTCCACATCTAGACATTAGCACAATTAGAAAACTACAAAGTGAATGAGAAAATTGCCATAGGACAGGGGGAGACTGCTATTTAACAAACTAAATGTGCACCAAACTCAGTACGTGCATGCACATACACGCATGCATGTATATGATTGCAGCACATGCTGACATATTGGCATACACACATTCACACATTCATTTGTGTTATGATTGGCTTAGTGTCCAGTCTTTATTATCCATCATTATGGTTTTAACTTAGCTTATTTTACATCATGCAGCACTAGATTAAAGCTCTGTGTGTGTGTGTGTGTGTGTGTGTGTGTGTGTGTGTGTGTGTGTGTGTGTGTCTGTCTGTCTGTCAATCAAGGAAATAGCCAAGAACAATGCTTTAGTCTGTGATCATTCTTATCTCCAAGTGATTACAATCACTCAGATGTTTTTTGTTCTGACCATATGTTTGTGTATGCATGTGTGGGTTTGGAAACACGCAGCTGCTTAGCCTGAACTTTCTAACACTACAACCCTTCAGTTTCACTCAACCATTTTTTTGTAGTTGTTTTTTTTTTCAGCAAGACTAAAGTTGTCAATTTCAATTTCAATTCAATTGTCAAAGATCAAAATGCAACATGTACAAGTTGCAGTGTTACATTTTGAGATAAATATGATAAATATATCAGGCAATGTTAAAAAGCAATTTCTTGAAACAATAAGTAGTTTTTCCACATCTTAGTATGACAAAACAATGCAGGTTTTATAGCTACAGATGACTGCAGGTGTTGTGATAACTTTCATTTTGTGTTTGTGTTTACATGACTTTTCAAAGTTGTTGCAGGCGGTCAACATCTGCTCAGTGTATCTCCAGAATCATCTGAGGGTTTTTAATATCACTGTGACCCGCCTGCAGGTCCAGAGCCAGATGTTGAAACACATCAATGTAACTGATTTTAGCAGCCCCTGGTCATTTGATTTATTATAAAGTACTCGGTAAAAGTGCTGAGTTGTGTGGAATTGACCAAGTACCACATTACAGTTCAGTTTCATCTCAATGCATCCCTCTCTTTTCTCTCTCTCCCTCCTTTTGCCCATACCTGCCTTAACCTCCTTCCCTCTGTGTGTCTCGTTTCTTCTCCCTTTTCCCTCTCACTGCTGCTCTTTTCCTCTCTCATCTCCATTTTTGAATTTGCCTGTCCTTCTCTTTATCCTTCTCTTCCCTCTCCTTCTTTGTCTCTCCCTAATATCCCACTCTCTCTTTCCCGTCTCTCTCTCTCTCTCTCTCCAGGTGCTGAGGATAATGGTTGTCTTCCTGCGTCTGGTTGTCCTGACGTCTGCACGTGCTCAGATGGCGTGGTGCGATGCAGCAACAGAGGGCTGCACTCTCTGCCCAAGGGCATTCCCAAGGACACCACAGAGCTGTGAGTCACATGTGAACACACACACATACACACACACAAACTCCAACACAAGGATGTACACGTACCTGCTACACTATTCATGTACTCGCTTTTGTTCAAATATAGAGACACATGAAAGCCAATAACATATCAGCAGACATATACGTGCACACAAACAGAATTTCTTGTCAATGCTTACTCTCCAATAACATGTCACAACCACACACATAAACGCACAGTCACACATTGCTGCAGTGCAATGTTGATGCAGCAGTTTGCCCTCTTCTGCTTCAGGAACTAACAAACCATTTAGTGAACACATGCACAAACACATGCTCTCTCTCTCTCTCTCTCTCTCTCTCTCTCTCTCTCTCTCTCTCTGTCTCTCTCTTTCTTTCTTCCTGTGAGACTTGATGGGTTTATAAGTGCCGCTGGTACTTGTGTTTATGTGTTTGTTTAGATGTTGTTGTCATAAATCTATAAATCACCACAGCTATTTTAATCTATCTGCAAGGCACAGTCAAATACTATACTGTCTAATACATTATATTGCCAAACAAAGAGAGACAGAAAGACTGCCACAACAGTTGCACACAGAAAGTGTCCTTGGGTTATTTTCCTAAAAATATTTTAAAAATTTCATTTAAAATTGAAGTTTCCAAAGTTGTAATGTCAAAGATTAGATTTAAAAGATTTGCTGGGGCAGTGAAGGTTTTTACAAACTTTTGCCTAGTACAATTATGTCATTTTTTGATACATTGAACTCAAAGAGACACTGACAAGAGAGAAATATTGTTGTATGTGTAACGATCTAAAACAGTTACAAATATTTTTAATTATTTATTTGCCTTACCATTTCCCTTTGTATTAGAGCTGCTACATCTTGTAACTTGTTTTTCATTCATTTCAAGCTAGTAGGCAAGGGCGCGGGAAGGGGGGTGTGGAGGGTGCTGCAGCACCCCCCATTGACAGGGAGGAACACAGTGTGCAAATTACATGTGCAGACTGCATAAATGTTACTGTTTTGCACATGCATTTATAAGAGAAGTATTCAGTGCTTTTACAAAACACATTACGTTGATAAACGTATCAACAACCTCTCCTGCCAAGTGGATGCATCACTGGCAGTAACGTTAGCTGCCGGAGTTTCTTTCTACAGGCTAAGTTTCACATTTCTTAGCAGATGCTTCAGTAGAAAATTTTTCGCAGTTGAAAGCTTTTTGCTGGTCTCACAACATTTACAGAAGACCATGTTCTTTGCATCTCTGAGTGTGACAGCTAAAAGTTAGGCCTAATGACAGCACTTATAGCTGTGAAAGGACGCCTTTCTCCCTCCTTATTCCTTTAGCTTTTTGGCTAGCAGCTGACTTGAACAACATTACGTCTTGTTTCGCTGACCTGCATTGTTGTGCATGTTCTATTAATATGCGAAATGAAACACAAACAAACAGATCCATCTCTGAAATGGAAGTTTATTATTAAGTCAACTAGAATTTACAAACTATGCGTGACCTACATTGATTACAGTCTTCTGACCTGCTACTAAAGCAGTTTTGCCCGCTGGCTGCACGCGCATCTAGTAGTGTTTGTATACAAGAAACCCATCTATCGGATTTCTGCAACAGCAAATAATGTTACTCTTTTACTCACAGATTTGTTTTTCTGGTGCCAAAATGTTTCTTGGTGTTGTTGAATTATATTTAAAAAAAATACTTAATTTCAGGTTAAAATGCGTTGTAACACACGTTACTGAGATTGTAAAAGGTATAATATTGCCGATTTATTTTTAGTAATGCGTTATATAACTGTGTTACAACAAAAAGCAATACAATGCTGTAATTGCGTTACTTTTGTAACACGTTACTCCCAACACTGCATGTGCGCATTTCTACTCTGTAGCACCCCTAAGCCAAAATGTCTTCCCGCACGCCTGCAGGAAGTAGGAATCCCTGTAATAAAGAAAGAGACCAATAAAGGGAATGTCTGTAATGGTAGTAATTGTTAGAATTGATAGGATAAAACAAGGGTAAAACAATGTTAATCGATATTAGAAAATTTAGAAAAAAGTAAGAACAAGATCTTTCATATGGAAGGTGAACAAATGCACATGTACTCGCGCACACACACACAGAAACCCCTCTTGCTGTGAAATAGGCCCGCACTCCAGGGTCAATAGCAGTGATTAGGTATTGATCAGACTGAAGAAGACACTCCATCATACTGTCCTCATGACCTACTTATGACCTGAGCGCGAGGAACAGAGACCAACAGATCATAAAATGTGTATATGTGTGTGTACTTGAGTGTATACTGTATTATGTTTGTTAACTTGTTTCTCACATACTCACAAACACAGAAGGGATCGGTAAGTAAATATTGTATCTTTGCAGTGGCTGGAATATGGGTTTAAAGCCACATGATGAAACTGTTACAGGACAGATTCACACCCCAACACTTGTAATCTTGTCTTGTGCAGAAAATGTAACAACATTGCTAGAATCTGTGCATCAGTGTACAAGCTAACTTGGGATGACAGCCGTGTCAAAAAGCAACATTTACTTGGTTGGTCTTGGTTCCGTGCCATACATCTTTTTTTTTTTTTTACAAATTAAATCAAATTGTACTTATGTACTAAGTTATTTTTTGATGAACAATAGCCAGGCGCAGTGACGTACCTTTCACACTGTCTTATGATCACTGTGAGGATACCAGACAACCATTAGAGATGTGATGGGTGAAAGGATGGTAAACTTTGGAGGGAGCCACACTAGATGTTTCCCTCTCCTAATCTAAGCTAATACCCCTCCTGGCTCTAGCTCAGCCCTAGCTGAGTGGGATTGACCTTCTTCTCATCTAACTCTCAAACAATAATGCATAAAAGACACTGCACTTCTCTGCTAAATCTACATATGCTATATAAATGTAAATGATTTGAAGTACTACACCTAATTCCTTTGTCCCACCAACATTTCCCAAATTCATACCCCACATCCTCCTTCTCCCGCAATCTTCAATGTGACAGAAGTTGTAAAACCAAAGATTTAGTGTGCTATATTGCCATTTGTGTGTATATATATATATATATATATATATATATATATATATATATTCATATATAATAAGTTACTACATTAACCATGCACTTTTCCTTGCAGTTACCTGGAAGGTAATATGCTGACATCTGTGCCCAAGGAGCTGGCAGCCCTGAAGCAGCTGTCACTGGTGTATGTACCACTCGCATAACCTTGGACAGAATACACATATCCTTGTGCAGTCAGTCTGTCTGTGTGCATTTGTCTGTGTGAATTTACTGTATTCTTGCATCTACACAGGGATCTCAGCAACAACAGCATCAGCACAGTGGCCTCATACACCTTCAGCAACATGACTCAACTAGCCACACTGTAAGTTACCATGGCAGTGCACACACCTAGTCATGCATACACACATCCCCACCCATATTTTAATTTTATATATGGGTATTTGTGTGTGTGTGTGTGTGTGTGTGTGTGTGTGTGTGTGTGTGTGTGTGTGTGTGTAAGGTCAAAAACCACTAGATACATTTTTTGATTAATCTGCTCTCCTCCCTCTTTCTTCATATTTCCCTGCTTCTTCTTTTCTCTCCCATTTCTTGTCTGTATCTTTATCTTTCTTTCCCCTTCTCAATTTGTCTTTCTTACTTCTCCCTTTCTAGCTTTTCTACTTCTGTCCTCCTTTTACCCTAAATATCGCTTAATTTCTCTTCCTCTTCATCTGTTCTCTCCCCACCCTCTGCTCTGTCTCATTTCAAGCTTTTCTTGTATTTTCTTGTATTTTATTCTTTTGCTCAATTTCATATTTTTATATATCTTTATATTTATTTAGGTTTATGTCTATTGTGACGCACCTGGTCGCCAAAACAAATTCCTTTGTATATATATAAACTATTTGGCAATAAAACTGTTTCTGGTTCTTTCTTTCTCTTTGCTTATAAAGATCTTCCTATTCCTTTCTAAAAGTTCTCAAAATTATCCTTCCAATTCTTTGCTACTCACTCAGTGAACTTTAAATTAAAATCTCTTCTTAAATTATCTTTTCATAAACTCTTTACTGCCATTCTATCTTAGATACAAATTCCTTTTATTGTTTGAGTAATCTTAAGGTTGTCTCTTTTTATACCTTTAGCTTATCTATCTTATCTAGTGCATGGATTTTACATCAACTTAAAGGATTTTATATGTCCTGGGATAGTTAACTGTGCACATTTTGTCATTTCCAGCAATGCCCTGTTTCATATTTCATAGAGTTGCGCCCATTCACGCCTGGGAGCTGCCCAGTGCAACCACAGGCTTCTACTGTTAGCCCCCCCATAGTATCAGTGGAACACTTTCTGAGTTAAATGCCTAGGTGGACTAGTTGAAGAGGTAGAGTGTTTAACCTTTCATTTTCTACATCAGATTTTTTCTAACTTCAACCTCAAGTTCTTAACAAGTTGGAGATTGAGAATTGCCCCCCCTCCCCCACTTTCCTCTGAGACACCTTTAGGCTGCATGATAATCAGTAATTATGATTAAGCAGTACTTCATTGTACAGCGTAATGAGCTAAAAACTGCTGAAAACCAATGTTCTAGGCTACTAGTGTCTTTAAGATACACATCAGACAGCAACAGTCAGCTTTTTACACCAGGATCATTATTGGGCTACATGTTTAATTATGTTAAAATAATGATAGCACCCTGAAACGACCAACTTTATCTCTTTTGACCATGATCAGAATCCCGTCCTTAAATGTTTGTCTCCTTCACTTCACATGTTAAACTTAATTTTTGTTTCATAAGCAGTTTTAAAAGAGAAAAACTTAATTGTGGTGTGGGAGTTTGACGTCCCAAAAGTCCCAGCTTTGCCTCTGGCAGTTTTTTACCTCTACCTAATTTTTGTATTTCATTAAAATGTGCCCCCTTGTTTATTTCACCGTGTTTAACCTACAGTGGCTACAGTATTATTGTAAAACCAAATTCATTCATATTTATTCAGGGATGTAGTGTGAAAGACAAGAGAAAATAATTTAAAATGTGTGTACGCAAGAAAATAATATTGTGAAACAGCATCCTGAGTCAGAAACTAAGTCTTGTGACCTTGTTGTCATGTCATTTCCCTTTCAGCATCCTCAGTTATAACCAGATTCGCTGCATCCCGGTTCATGCCTTCGACGGTCTCAAGTCACTACGCCTTCTGTGAGTAGCAAGCTTAATCGTCAAGTGCCGCAGTGGATTCAATATTCAATATTCACTCTCCTTTGCTAGTTATTGTACTGAGCTAAATCAAAGTCACTAATCACTCCCCTGGTGCCAGCTCGAGAGCCATGCTAAGACCCAGTCACAAAATGAGTCACAGCCACCCAATAATTTGTTGTTTCAGGGTACTAAAAAAGATAAAAGTGACAATCTCTCATCCTCTCTTTAATACTCCCTCTCTATCTGCATTCTCTGGCCCCTCTCTCCCCGTGTGTCCCTTCAATCTGACTCTCCCTCTCTCTCCTTCATCCATCCTCACCTCCTTCTTTCTCTCTCTCTCTCTCTCGGCCCAATGTTGTGTTTGATGAATCGACCTTCAGCCTCTGTTTCTCTCAGTCATCCATCTGGTTGTCCACCCTCTGTCTCACAAACCCCCACATGCACACGGCATGTGAATATTGCTGTCTGACCATCCTCTCACACACACACACATACGCACTTGCGCCTTCATTGCTCAATGACAGCAGCATGTATTTACTTACTTTACTTACATCAGTATATTATGTAAGTCTGTGGTTAAAGAGTAACTTAACACCAGACTGAAAACCAGTTTTTGTGGTGCCCTCTTTGGTTAAAAGTTTCAAGCTTGTTTCACCTCTGCCCACACCCAGAATCACTGATGGGTAACCACATCCAACAGTGTCACAGGGTCCTGCTCTACACCTGTGCATCATTGCAACAAGATGATTCCTTTATGTTAAGAATATCACTGGAGGTCAGCAAAAACAAGATTTTTATGGGATATTAAGTCGCTCTTAAAGATTATTTCTAGCATCTCTGAGATATCCACCTCTGAGATTTGCACCTCCACCCCAATATGATGTAGGTGAACAGAATTTTTTCAGTTGTTTACTCTGGATAATACACTCAAGGATTATTTGTAATAGAATAACGTCACAAAAAATAACTTGAGGTAATTGAAAAATGTTCCATTTTTTATTTATTTATTTATTTAACCTTTTAAGCTTTTGTTGTTGCTAAAGGTAGAGGCTCTCAAAAGTAAGACTACATTGTCCACAATCCGTAATGTTTTGTATCGCAAAGCCAATGCTGCTACTTTCCTTTTTTGATTTAGTGAATAGTATGTTGAAAGAGATTTTTAAAAGAACGTCTACTCTATACACCGTGGTAGGAAAGTTTAAAAGCTGTGGTTATAATAGTAAGATGTTTTTTGATGCAAATTCTGTTACACAATGTGAATGGTAGTGTTGAGGCTGATAATCTTAACTTTGTATGTTAGTACTCTTGGCTCAAAATTAAGAAGATATAGATTTATTTGTGGAATTTCACATTTAATACAAATAACTTTCAACTTAAACCCTGTAAACATTAAATAATGATTAGAGGTCTGCTTCTTTTACCTCATATTATTCTCTGTAGACATTTCATTGTCCACAATGTTTTGTTCAGAAAGCCAGTGTTTCACCCTCTAAGAAGTCATCTTTGTTTCTGACCTTTTCTCTATATATGACTGTATCTCTTACGAGGCTTTCTTCTTACAGAAGTTTAGTCATCGCTTTTTTCCCTCCTTTCTTCCTTTCATTTTAGTTGATGTTGCCGTGGGGACTGATCCCTCTCTGCCCCCGCATAGCAACTGGTTGCCAGGCAGCCATCACTGTCACTTCCTCATTACCCACAACCCCCTCTGGGCCAGCCTTACGCGGGGGCTGTTAGACCACCGTACGCACAAACACACACACAGTGGTGCACACAAACACGTAAAGTTGCAAGGATGCACAGACATTAAGACCACACACACACACACACACACACACAAACGTATGCACTTGTATGCCCAGCTACACACTCTGGTATACACTGACCTGAACATGCACACATTGCATTAAGTGCACAAAAAAATCACACACACACACGTACACGCACACACTTTTCCAATAGTGGTGGTTTGATAGCTGTCCCTTGCTACAGCCTTTCGCTCTAATGGAATGTGAACTTATATCCAGCAGGCAACACACTCAAATGGCGAGACACAAAGGACACATACACACTCTGCAGTCTCTGAGCCCTTGGAGACAAAACTTTCTGATACTCACAAATCTACACGCATAAGCACAAGCACAAGCACAAAAACCCAAAGGGACAAAACAGAAATGTATTCTCACACCGATACACATCACAGCCTGCAGTTTGTCCCTGTGACACAAAGTTTTTTTCAAACACATGCACACACCATAGTCTGCCAGATGACCATATGAGACAGTTTATATTCCATTCAGAGACCATGATAAGCTTTATTGCCCAACAATGAAAATAAGCTTTCTGTTTATTATGTCTTATTCTTTCATAAATATTTTATTTATTTTCCATTATGGAAGGCAATGATGGTGTGTCTGCAGCTGAGGAACCACAAATAATTTAAATAATTTAGCATGCAGTTAGTCAGGGTTGGTGTATTAGTTTGTTGAAAATCGAGTATTAGGCAGCTGGGCTGTCAGTTTCATTTACTTCTGATGTGATGGATATGAGGCAGTAGGTTTGTTTAGATATTCATTGTGAAATTCGGTCAATGAAATCTATGGGCAAACCTTAAAAGCACCTTTAAGATTTTGATCTAAACATAGACCAGTCAATGTAAGTACAGTAATAGTATAAGTAACAGTGGCAGCATTAGTCATAGTATGAGTGTAAGTAGATGAAACGTAGCAGTAACAACTAGTAGCATGCTGGGCTAAAGTCAAAGATTTCACATTCTTCTCCGTGCTGCAAAAGTATGATTATAAAGAAACGCCGAAAACTTAATCAAATTAATTAACTACACATTAAAATTAGCATTGGGTCAAAAACTGACCACTTGAATTTGTAACAAGGTCAGGTTTGTTTTTAATATTCATATGCACTGTTGTTTTGCTCTCTCTGTCTCCTTCAGCACGCTCCATGGTAACGACCTTTCAACCATACCAGAAGGAGCTTTCAACCACCTCACCTCTCTGTCCCACCTGTAAGTACAGCCCCAATATCTGTTTGTGTGTATATGTGTGTTGGATGCAAGTGGATTACACATTTAATTGTTTGTTTGTGTGTGTCTAGGGCTCTTGGTGCCAACCCTCTGTACTGTAACTGTGACCTGCGCTGGCTCTCTCAGTGGGTCAAGGCTGGCTTCAAAGAGCCTGGTAAGAAGAAAAAACACAATCTAGATGCTATTAAAATACCTGTGACTAAAATAGTATGTTTTCTGTTACATACATTTCATATTGTGTGTAAAGAAAGGTGCAAAATATACTGTGATGTCACCTGAGTGTGTATTTGTAGGTATTGCTCGTTGTACTGGACCTCCTGACATGGCTGACAGGCTACTGCTCACCACACCACTCAACAGATTTCAGTGCAAAGGTAAATAGTCTCCTCTTTATCTGCTCACTGGTGCCTGCTACAGTATATTCTATTATTTGTCTATATATTAGTGTTGACCTGTTTTAGCACTGGATTAATCCCTGGATCAGTCGGATTAGGATACAGAAAGGTGTTTAAAACAGGCATTAAAGTGGCAGCAGAAATTTATGTCTATTGCAGTCACATTTTATCAGTTTTAAAATTTTTGTAGTGTTTGACCTAGTAGCTTTTAGGTTTCCAGTTTACTAACCCTTCCATTAATGCTGGGTTTGGTCTTTAGGCAGTTTGCTGGCCAATTGTT